TTGATGGCAGCAGAGCTACCCTTCATCTGGTGGTTCAAGAAACTCTAATAGGAGGAATTTGAGCTCTCCCAAGAGTCCAGAAATCCACTGAGAATCTGGCTATACTCATAGCCATTGATGTAATTTATGGTTTGTCCAATAATAGACAAAACTCTTAGCCAAAATAGCCAGAAACGCACCAATGAAAGTCCCCTTCTTGATCTTCTTCCTTCCATTGGTCTTAGTGGCTTTTTCTTGCTCCCCAAAATAGTCAAAAGCAATGGACAATTTGTAATAAGAGATGAACATGACATCATTGGACAAACTTGTCAAGAATCTAGTGAGGGTGAATTTGATGGCAGGATCATATGGGGAATCCTTGCTTCCATCACATTGGTTGCTGTCAAAATTGGTCAACACTAAGACCAAGGCCACTTTTCTGTACATCCAGATCTGCATCATACACTCAGAAACCCATATGCCATGGCGTGAAAGTTGTTTCTGGACCTGGGTCAGGGGAAGTTTGGGGTCTCACTGCAGGAGATCAAGCATAATAGGATTGTGTTGTTGGGCTGGGACTCTGAGGCCTTCTTCTGTCTCTTGGCCTTCCTGATTAAATTCCCCTTATTCATCAGGTTATTGAATTCTCACATGACAGTTGCTCAGGTGAATTTTAATTAGGTGGCAATTTAGTCAAGGTCAGGCCACGCTGGTTGAGTGCCACAATGTCACAAATGACAAGCTCCTGTTAATAATATGCGTAGAGAAACCCCAACTATGGGATTCAAACCCCAGAACCCTGCAGGCTGGCGGCCTGCAGGCCCAGCTGCCTGCGTTTTTTGGGCTCAAATCAGAATTGAATTTGAGTTCAGAGAAATTCCCAAGACTCACCAGTATGGAACCTGTAAGAGAGGGGGGCTAAACTAACTAAGTTTGTCTTCCATCCTGGGGGAAGGATCCACCAGGACATCATCCAGTGCAAGACTGGTATGGCCACTCAAAGAGGCGTCCACAACAAGGATGTGGAGGAAAATCAGGAGAAGTAAGAGTCTAAACCCATCAAAAGAATCCCACTAAGCAGCCAAGGAGTACGCTTGAGGGCATACTCAAGAGGGAGAAACTCCTCAGGAACATTGGGCTTTGTTTCCACAGAGGGGAAAGGCTTAGGGGGTCCAATTTCTGGGGGGTTCAAAGAACAGGTTCATGGAAAAACACTTCAAGATTGTTGCATGTGAGGCTCTTGACAAGATTCTCACTGGTGACAAGAAGGTCTTGGGCGCGCTCAGGATTGCCATCAAAAAAATTTAGGAGGTGAGCAGGGTTGTATCCCACAAGTTAAAGGGAGGAGGAGATCTAATCCCATAGATCTGGTGTGGTAGTCCAAATCATTGCCAGAATTGGTGCCAAGGTGAAAGTCACAAATTTCAGAAGAGAGGCCAGCATTTTTCAAGAGAGCAATAGGGTTAAAAGCATTCTTTAAAGCAAAAACAATTATAATTTGATTTTAAAATAGAAATGCAGGGGATTCTAAAATTCTAAGAGGCAAATGGAACAGCAAAACCAAGTTATACACTTTAGAATTGAATAGGAGAAGTTTTCAAAGGCGTATAAGTAAGCCTGGACAACAACAAAGCAAATAGAAGACAAAATTGAACTTAAAGAAGCTAAATATATTAGGTTACTATACTAATCTTAGATTTCAAGTTAAATTTTTGAAAACCAAGGTGGTAAGCCATGATGAATATACTAACTATAGTTTTAGGAGCTCTGAAGAAGGTGTCCAGAATCCAGAGAAAGGCCAGGGAGATAAAGATGAATAAGTTTAATACAAATGAAGTCAAGAAACATGAAACACCAATAGAGTGTCTCAAAAATTCTAAACTTTATAATGGGAAAGTGTTTAAACTTTTATTTATAAGAATAAGAAAGCAGGGGACCAGAAGTCCCCTGTCTTGCTTTAAGACACAGGGTTTGGATTTGGAGGTCACCTGACCTCAGTTTGACATTTGATTGGACAGGATAGAATTTTTGCCAGGAGTTTCAGGAGGCTTGGATGGTTTCTCATTAATTTCTAATCCAACCTCCGATTGGCTGATACCTAAAGGGCACTTCAGGATGCCATTAACTCCAGTCTGAATGGAGTTTGGGGAATTGGTAGAAGTGCGCCCTGATTGTTTAGCCTTCATTTGTTTTAAATGGGGCAAAACCAAGCCAAAAAATACTCCAATTTGATCAGGGATTACTCCCAAGTAGGAAAAAACTTCAGAGCATTGGTATTTACCATCTGGGAAGAGTATTCCAGCACAAATCTCTCATCGACTTTGTGGGCTAAATCTTCAAGGGAAATAAGTGGTTTGACTGAATTGTGAGCTGTTTTCTTTGTATGTTGGGGGGAAATAGTCCTATCCAGGGCTAAAGGGGGGTAACTTTACAGAACTTTCTACGTCAAAGCCCTGTCTCTAGAAGGATCCTGTTTGCCCTGCCAATAAGAGTGCTGACCCAAAAAATGAGCATGAGATAACTGGGACCACTGCAACTGGGGAATTGAAGAAACTTCCCCAAGAACGCAGGCCGTCAGAGGATGAAAAATCCTGAAACTCAAAAAGGGAATTCAAGTTTTCCCATTAAAATTCAGCCAATGAGAGATTCCCCACGCAGGATGCCACTGAGGGTTCCCAAACCTGGGTAGATGATACCACCCAGCCCAAAGGGGTTTGTAAAAGTTTTTCTATGGCAGATGGGCATACTTATACCCTGGGCTGCCAGGGAGTTTCCTATTGCCATTTTTACATTAAAGTGATATGAACCTTTGGTTTATCTAGGTTATACTGTATTTGATTTTAGCACTCTTTAATTTTCAATATAACTTCTGTGGCACTGTCCACCACAAAAGCCAACCCCAAGAAACTGCAGACAGACTGCCTGAGTTATACTGTCCACTGGGAGCACCCTTTGGCCTGGTACATTTTACTGAATACCCACCCAGCCTGGTTTATTCAGAATTTACCTTAGAGGAAATCCTGATCTATAACCCCAAAGCCAGGACCAGAGAGGACAAAATCATTGGCAGAGAAGGAAACAAAATCACCAGATCTCCTCTGCTATTCTGCAACAAGTACAACTACCTGCCTGTGTATTTGGTTCCAATGACGCTGCCTCTCACCCTGCGGCCCAACCGCCTGCAAGAATCCTTTGCTGCAAGTGAATCTACTTTGACCCAAATATTTAGGGTTATGTATATCACTTTTACTGGCCTTGTCAATTCTATGGTGCCTTCTAGCAGCCCCTGGGCCATTCTCAGGAAGTCCCTATCATATATTGTAAATTTAGCGCCCATCCTGTGGTGGGCCCTCCCTTCAGGGCCCGCAGGCTGTCTGCCCACAAGTTCTTGGGAACCCCCTACAGGATGGATCCCTGACACACAATTTCCTGGAGGATTTGGGCAGTAATGATTTGGTGCTTGGTGTGCTGGGTCAAAGGCGCTGTAGTCTGATTGGATAAAGAGGAAGTAGGTTGGCTGTTAGCAGGCAGTTGTTCCAAACCAGGGTTGCCATTCTGATTGGCTGGTTGGTTGGCACCTTTTACAGGGTCAGGAAAGGGGTGGGGCAGAGCTGGACATTAGGCAACTACTGAACAAGTCAAACCCATAGGGTTGGAGGTCAGGTACAGGTCAGCTTCCTTGTTATCCAAATCAAAGATCTAAGTGTAAATGGGGGCCTCCACATTCTGAGCCTTACCTTTACAGAAGCTGTCTTGGCTGCTGGCTTGTTTTCTGATGCCATAAAAAATGTTGCTAGTAAAAAAATTGTAAAATAAAACCTAGGAAAAAACACTAAAAGTAGAAGTTTAAGATTTTATGGATTTATTTTTATTGTAATCATGAGTCCAGATTTGGAAAGTTCTTAAAATCATTATACACAAATAAGGAGCCATGAAAATGAATAAAATGCCTCTGTTCCTAAATTGGATAGTTGTTGATTGGCTGATAAACTGTTAGCTTTCTATTTTAAGCTGCACATACTACACATCTTGTGTGACTTCATTTTTTTTTTGTCTGTGAAATCTTGTTTCTGGGTTGCTCTATTTTTGTTTCATTTTAGTCCTTTTGTTGGTGCCTCATCTGAATCATGATAGGATTATAATATATTCAGTAACAGCATCAATCTATTGCACTTGGTGTGCCAGGTCATTTCTTTTGTATTTTGAACTACACCGTTCAATGTTTGATATAATTTTGTATTATGTGATAGTGATATTTTTTATTGTTTGACATTTTGCTAGTTCATCAAAAAAATTTAAATATTTTGATTCTTGAGTCTTGCCTGACTTGGGGTTCACTTAAATCTGAGCTCATTTTGTTTAAATCTAAAGTATTTTTGCTTGGTGTCATAGCTTTTAAAACTACTTTACTCTATATCTTCTCAAATAAAGTACACATTATTATACTTCATTTCCCCCTTTTAGGATGTTGTCTTTCCCTAGTTTCACCAAGTACTGAACTCCCTCTAATCCAGTTGCAAAAAATAAAAGGGTCTTATATAACCCGTATCAGCTAGTCTAATATACTATAATCAATCAAACATACAATTTGGTCTGTAAATAGGCAGTTGAATTTTTACTTGTGTATCACAGCACATGGAATGAGTTAAAATATTATGTCAGTGGTTCAAAATACCAACTCAAACCAGACATTTGAAATTTTATTGTGCTTTGAGATAATCATCTTCAATATTTTTTCAAGAAATGTACCACATCTACTTTTATTATACCTATTTTTTATTTTAATAAATAAAATGAATTAATACATAAAGCAACCCTTTAAAATATATATCAACCCCACTAAAGCTGTTATCTTCATCATCCTGCCTCTAATACTGAATCATTAAAGTTAAGTTATAATGTTTTTTTACAAGGAATATTTGAAAAGCCTGGGGGCTATAAACAAGGCTCAATAGAAAATATATTTGTTAAAAAAGAGCACCACAATTAGTCGCTTCACTGGGTAAAATAAATTCAAAAAATGCATTGTCCGATTATCGAACCCGGGTCGGCCGTGGGCAGTGGCAGGCGGCCATTATACCACTAAACCAACAATGCGATATGATTTGCTGAAAGTACGCTTGTACAAATACTGATTATTATTATACAAATACATACTACGTGAACTTATATTTAAGTACAATTGTAAACTATAACCAACCAGTATATAGTGAAACAAACGAAAATTTTTATACCACTGAGATGATATAATTTTTTATATATTCTTTTGGAAAGCACATATTGATTAATATTTTTGATATATTATTAGTAATCTATACTAATTGAGTGAAACTGTTTTTTTAAATATATTGGCCCAAGTATTTATATCTTTTGATAATTTTCAAGCCTTTTAAACCTTTTTATTACAAGGATTATAAATTAAAAAATCATCAAAATTTACAAGTTTTTTAGTTATAATATAATTATTGCTTATACAATTCTGTACTTTTCAGAGATGTTGAGATGAACAAGCCAAAGTTTGATTAGAGAAAGATATGGTTGTGTATAGAATAAAATATAACATTTAATGCATGACTTTGTACATATCAACATAATTTAGGATTTAATAGATAGTTCATCTTTAATTCACAACATGTATATCAAGCACACAAAATACCAAAAACACACAGTAAGATCAGGATCTCAAGTTGCCAACAAATCAATGACATAAATCCGATTTTTTATAACAGTAGTTTTACAATCTGTTGAGATAACCAAAATGGTCTAGTTCAATTTTTTGGTTCAGTCACATAACAAATAACAACTGGTTTTAGCTGGAGTTTAATTTACTCAATAAAAGTTCAATTTATCTAGGTCTGGATTACAAAAATAGCCAGTCACATAAAAATTTAAATACAGAATCCCAAAACCAAGACAGCAGATAAAAGTAACCCATATCTAAAACAAAATTAAACAAGTCACAGCATCAAGAAGTTTTCAGAAATGCTATTTCTCTCCTCTCAAACCCAAGATTTGGAATGGATTTTGAACCCTGGTCAAGCCTGCTCACAGGCTGCCAGCCCTGAGGACCATAGAGCTGCCCACCCATGTTTTTTGGGATCAAATCCTCTCTTATTTGAACTGCAAACATCATTAAAAATGGGAACAGAAGTATAGACTTGCCAATGATGGCACCTAACAAAGAGCACAATGTGCTGCCTAATAAAGGCAAAAAAGCTCTCATCATTGGCTTGATGAGCCTGATGTCTACCTTAGTAGCAAATCAGGATTCATCATTCAATAAAGGCACTAACTAACAAGCTTTCCCAGGAAGATTGCTCAGGAACAGAAGGGTTGTGCTACCCTTCCCAAGAATCCAGCCAATGAACACCTCCCTACAACAGTGCCATTTTGACATCCCAAAACCTGGGTGTTCCGCCCACCCAGAATCACATTTACAATTTTATGATGATTTCTCTTTAAAAGATGTAAAGTCTGGAGGTGGAGTGCTATATTGCCCAGGATCCACTCATTGGGAAGTCTCTCTCCAATTGAATGAAGGAGAGCTCCCAAGTTGAATTTGACCACAGTGGATCCTACTGGGATCCCTATCATTAACATGTGTAGGAGGTGACCAAAGAGACAGAATCTTCCCAATAAGGGAGTAAAGTGATTGAGGAGATAATAGACACTGGTATACCCCAAAACCAACCAGGGGGCCTTGGGGTGGATGATAGCTGGGAATCATGCTGTTTCAACGTAAGGAGCATGTTGTCTACGCAGACCAAAAAGATACCAAATTGAGTCTTCTGATTTATTGGTAGGAGTTGGTTTGGGGGCTTTGAAGTTAACATTGGATTGCCCATAACTGATTAACACACAGAGAGTCCATACAAGAAAGATGAACTTCATGCTGTTGAAGGGGGAACCTTTAGAATCTACTAATCAAGTGTTTAGAGGTTGAAAATATAAATTTATTGGTTGATAGGAATAAGAGAAATTGTTGGAGAAATTTGGAAGGGAAGAATTTGCCAGTTTTAATACTGACTCAAGTGGGGAAGGAAACATTGTGGTTACCAGGTGGTCCTGCAATAGTGATTTGAGAAAACATTGCCTTGCAGAACTGCAGCAGGCTGCAGCCTGCAATGCAAGAAGAGGCAGGTTGGAGTATTGCATTGCAGTATTGTTCTTCACTATGGTTGGGAATGATTTCTGGGGTTGGATGTGAGATAATTCTCTGGCTTGGTTGGTTTGTTGTCTTTGATTGGCTTCCTAGGTCTCTGACTAATTGATTTGGATGATTTCTGCATTTATTTTCCAGTTGATTGGTTGTTTTATATTGACTGGGTTTAATTTTATATGCTGAATCAATACTTCTGTTGATGTTATGGTTGTCTGAAGCCTTGAAATCCAAAATTAAAATAAAATTTATATTTTGGTCTTGGATTTTACGCTTGCTTTCAATTTCACGTTTGAAATTGATTAATACACATTCATTAATCAATTTCAAATGTATTTTTGAATTGATCTCATTAACAGTTTTTGACTTTGTTCTTGGCTTCTACTTTAGCATTTATAAATGCAATTTCTGGTTTCTCCATATTTTTAACAAAATTTAAGTCTAATTTGCAATTTGTATTAGGGATGGAGTCCCTTACATATATAAACCCCTGGACTCTGAGCCAGACTTAATTTCAATTTTTGAATAAAGGTTATGAGATATTGATATTCCCAAATATTGTCATATTTTATCTTAGCAATCTTCCAGTTCAACTCTAATTCTCCTGGTCTGCCTGCCCTATCATCCACAATTTTTGTTCTCCAGGTGCTCCCTTTGGTCCCATTTAATTTACAAAGTACTCTTTGAAGCCTAAATATCAATAATACACCACTAATAATATACTTTCACACAACCCCTTGGCACATAATAATGGGTTAACCAGATACAACTGGAAGGGCCCTTGACATGTTACTGATCCCTGCCTGTTTAAAGACAAATACAACTTTCTTCCTGCCTACCAACTAGATATGAAGCCGCCTTTTACCCCCAAACCAATGCCTGCATCTTTCTCTGAGCTTGCCCTAGACAATTCCAATAAGATGTTTAGTATAGTGTACATCACTCTTTTGAGGATGATTGTCACTATCATCCCAGCCTCTGGCCTGTGGTATTGGGTGGTTAATCTATGTTATACCTCTTTAAATTAGCATCAATATCATGGTGGACTATGCCCACTAATCATGTGGCCCTCCCAATCCTGTAAAATGACAGGCCGCCCACCCAAGGGTGGTTCCCTAACAGGGTCTTTGCATTGATTTAGGTAAGTTTATCTTAATTCAAGCCCACATATTTGCTAATATATTTTATTTTTTCTGTTAATTCTTTTGTTTTTAGAGATGGTATTATCAATTTTGTGTAAAAATTTCTCATATTTGGCAATAGTTCTTCTACTCACTTTAGTCCTTGCTTTATATCAATCCTTGTCCATAAACTTATTATGTTAAAAATTTAGACTTTATTTATTTTTTTGCTTGTTTAATTTTTGTATAAATGTCATTGTATTTGAAGATTGAATTAATAACATCACAAAGTGTATATATTTTTTATCATATATATGTTTTTCTATATTATATACACTTGTTGTTGTATTTAAAGATTACATTAAGAATACCTCAATGTAGACACATTTCTGATTCAACTATTGATTTTAAAATATCAATTTTAGGTTTGCTTATATGCTATTCTTAGTCTAACTGATCCAAATACTCATTTCACAAATACTTTTCTTTAAATTCCATTGAAAACTAATTTAAAAATCTGCTCAGATAAATTACCCTTTATCTCAATATAACATTACCACTGTTTTAAATGTTTTTTTCACACTTTTTGCCAGGATACCAAGAGTACTGTGGAGCTCCAGCAGGTGTGAGAGGATTCAAAGCAGGTACTGGCATGGCCCATCAGATGATGGGACCTAACTTTACCAGATAGGAAAGGGCCTTCCCAGCCACAGCCCAAGGCCCAGCTGCTGGCAAGGCAGAGTCAATCAATCCTGTGAGCGCCAGGTAAAGCACTCCCAGGAATTGACTACTCTGACCAGTGGCATCAGAGGTGGGTGGGGTAGAGATGGTTGGTTTGGGTGTCAGGGGTGACTCCATGGGGACCAGATACGCAGCAGTATTGTTGTACTTCCCGTTGAAGATCAAAGAGTAGATGGTGATTGTTTTGCTGTCACAGACAATTTGGTAGGGTTCCTTGGGTGCGTTTGGGCGGGTGTACCACTGCAAGTCTTCCAAAGTCCAGGGTTTGTGGTCAGGATTTGGGGGATACTCAGTGAAATGCACAGGGCCAAATGGTGCATTGGGTTGACAGTAGTAGTCAAAGGCTTTGTTTTTATCAAATGAAGTCTGGCTATTTATCCCAGTGGGTGGGTACTGACAAAGGGGTGTATGCAGTTGGAAGAGTATAAAAAATATGTATGGAAACAGATTGGTGAACCAAAGGTCCATAACAACTTTATTTGGTAAGGATGACAATACATAACTTTTTCAAGTGCTTATGATTTATATACTTACTCACATGCAGGTGCCTCTGAGCATTTTTCTGGTGCTATATGTGTGGCAAGGCTTGACATCTCAGGTTCTGCTATTTGGTTGGCTGCTTCATGATCATTTTTGGGGTTTTCAGGAACAGTTGTTTGGCTTTTTGGTGATCCATCTTGGCTTGATTGGCCATTGGTTCTGGCAGGTTTGGCTTCTGGGGTTATGGGGGTTTTCCCTAATTTGATCACCATTTTTGGACTGGCTTGACAGGCTTTCCTGAGCCCAAGGAACTTGATTAAAAAAGGGGTCCCCAACTGGGGACCCCAAATTACTTAATGGAGGGTGTGATTGATCTGGGTTTACTGGGCAGCTAAAAATAGCCTGCCCAGCCAAACCCACCAAGGCTTGGGCGTAGCTTTTGGGGCCCAGAACAGGCCTCCAGCTGCCACCAGGGCGGGAATGATTCCTGCACCTGGATTTGCTTCAAAAAGCAAAAATCCAGGTGCAGGCAAATCTCCCTTGCCCGCTAGCCCAGCCTGGTGGCTAGGAGCGGGTTCAATTCCCGCCCAGGGCCT